ATGAGTCAAGAAGAACTGGTCGGGTTTTGAGTTAAAGTTTAAATTTGTGGTATATAAAATTATGTGTTAATATGTAGAGAGATGTATATTTAGAACTTTAAATATGATAAGGAACGAATTACTAGGATTATGTATACTGGAACGTCATGTCATGTCCCTTTTTGTTTTAATTGTTTTGTCAATAAAAATTTAAAAAAAAGAAAAAGAAAAAAAAAAGAAAACCACCAAGCTCAGAGAGCGCCAAGGACCCTTCACGTCAACGCTGAACTACAAATATTCTCCTTTATTCGTACCTGTTGATTTCTCTGGAGTTCTTCCAATCTAACTTTCTCCTTTGGACCTCTTTAAAACTGCGCCCAAACCTGGTAGGTTTTCTGCCACAAAGACTCAAACAGAAGGGAGGTGGAACTGTTTGAGAACCCACCTGCCATCATCCATGACCTTACCCCTCACTCTCAGGCGCTCCACTTCCTCTGCTGGGATCTCGATGGCATCCAGCTGGTCCCAACGGTGGGTTGGCATCAGGGAGCCCCCGCTGCCAGCTCTCTCTGGGCCCAGCTCTGCCCGTCGCACCTCAATCCCTGCAAGCCGACAGACCGGACCAGCATCACTTTGGGCGTGCGTGGAATTACCCCACAATATTTCCACACAAGACTGCTCAAGTGCCTTGCGAAGGTTCCTCTCCGTGCGGAGAAAAACAAGGGGCACGTTGCACATCTTGCAGAGAGATGGTGCCCACCTAAGTTAAATTAATTTTGAAATATGGTATTAAAAGAGCCACGGAAATGAACTTTTAAGCCAACAAACGGCAGGATTCCTGAGCAGCCAGGGAGGAGGCGCCCTCTCGTGGCCACTGACCAAAAGAGCATCAAAAGCATCTTCCAGAGGTCAGGGACCAGGGACGGTCCTTTCAGAGGATGGGGATGATGGAGGATGCACCCGGTGAGAAGAGGCTGCCCCAGATTTTAATGGGGACCTGTGGCAGGGAGGCCAACTCTCAGTTTAGGAAGCTGATCCGTTTTCTATGCCGCCTCCGCTCACCCACCAATTCCAGCAATGTATTATAGATCAGCATTTCTCAACCTCTGTCCCTTTAATAGAATAGAATAGAATAGAATAGAATAGAATAGAATAGAACAGAATAGAGCAGAATAGAGCAGAATAGAGCAGAATAGAGAATGGAATGGAATGGAATGGAATACAATAGAATAGAATAGAGAATGAAATGAAATGAAATGGAATGAAATGGAATGGAATGGAACGGAACGGAACGGAACAGAACAGAACAGAACAGAATAGAATAGATTAGAGCAGAATAGAGAATGGAATGGAAGAATAGAATAGAATAGAATAGAATAGAATAGAATAGAATAGAATAGAATAGAGTAGAGTAGAAAATAGAGTAGAATAGAAACTAGCATAGCATAGCATAGCATAGCATAGCATAGCATAGAATAGAATACTGTAGAATAGAATAGAATAAAGGAATGGAATGGAATGGAATATGGAATGGAATGAAATGAAATATAGAATAGAATAGAATAGAATAGAATAGAATAGAATAGAATAGAATAGAATAGAATAGAATAGAATAGAAGTTGGAAGGGACCTTATAGGTCATTTAGTCCAACCCCCGTTCAAGCAGGAGACCCTCTACTATTTCTGACAGATGGCAGTCCAGTCTCTTGAAAGCTTCCAGTGATGAAGCTCCCACAACTTCTGAAGGCAACTCCTGTTCCACTGGTTGATTGTTCTCCTTGTCAGGAAATTTCTCCTTATTTCCAGGTTGAATCTCTCCTTGATCAGTTCCCATCCGTTGTTCCTTGTCTGGCCTTCAGGTGCCTTGGAGAATAGGGTGACCCCCTCCTCTCTGTGACAGCCCCTCAAATACTGGAAGACTACTATCATGTCTCCCCTGGTCCTTCTCTTCACTAGACTAGCCATGCCCAGTTCCTGCAGCCATTCTTCATATGTTTTAGCCTGCAATCCCCTCATCATCTTTGTGGACTTCAACTCCCAGAATTCCCTGCGAGGGACAAAGGTCCTCTAATAACCCCCAGAAAAACCTTCTTCACCCCAACCATTTCCACAGGATCGAGGACATGACCCATGGCAGGATGGCTGAGAGTTTGGTCTCAACTTACCGATGTTCTTACTGTGAAAGGTAACCTTCCCTCTGTTGGGGCTCAGGAGCTGATGGAGGCTGGAAGCCATTTTGTCCACGTTTTCCACCACCTTCATGGGTCCCCCAATGATCTGGAGAAGACAGGAACAGTTGGAAGAGGACCACCTGAGCTTTTGTATCTCAGTTGCCAGGTAGATCAAACCTCCAAGCAAAGGATAACCCTGATCAGTGGTTGGAGAGACGTCTGTCAGATCTAGGTAGCTATGGATCTCCTCTCTTTAGTAGACTAGATACCTCTCAAAGACCCCTCCCCAATAGTGTTATTTTTACCAGCTTGGTCTCAGACCAATGATCTGTATTGTCCTCCTCCAGGAGTCTCCCTGTAATCTCCACATAATGTTGGCCCAGCTCTTCCAGGGTTGCCAGTTGACCTGGTTCCACCACCTCTACCTCGGACACCTCTTTCAAAAGCTGGAAGACCCCCAGGAGAGAAGAGGCATCCAGAGGAGGAGGTTGAGCTTCGGACAGGATCTTCTCCACGACCCCCAATCTATTAGCTGCGGCCGAAATAGTCACTGCTCGGACATCTGCCTGGAAGACGTTCTCAGGAATCTGCAGAAGGGAAACGAGACTGGAGTTAGAGAAGCTAGATGGGCAGATCAGCCTTAATGGTCTTCTTGAACCTAATTTTGGCCAGAGAGGAGAACAAGCAAAGCATCCTCTCTCTCTTGCGTTAACAGGATGACCTCGGTCCCTCTTCTGCTGACCAGGCATCTTCTGGACTTACTCTTTATTCTTGATACCAGACTATTGAGGGCACTGTCTCTACACCTTCTTCAGAAGATAGGTTGGGAGGCTACCAGCCAAGGAATCTACGGATTCTACAAGGAGGATGATTGAGGAACCTAGATGCTTCCTGGCTTCAGGACTGGAGAAATGGGCCATCTGGCTGGAGAGGACATGCTTCAGATGGACCTCAGGATCAATCCCCAGGGACTCAAGGAGATGTAGCATCGGGGTTGATCTCTTAGACTTACTTACCACGGTCGTGTTCGCCTGGGCATTCACACGAGCGATAAATGGTGGGACAGGCTCTGACTGGGTTTTCTTCAGCTGGAAGTAAAGATCTGGACGGGGTGAAAAGCCCACAGATGGACATGGACCTTTTCTTGGGGCCCAGCTATTTTCATTTTTGCTTTGATTTCTCTCTTTTCCTTCCAGGTCTTCATTTTATACACGTTAGGATACATTTCTAGGCAGCGACGATTGGTCCAAACTCATCCTGGGTCTCAATACAGCTAGTCCTCGACTTAACGGCATTGGTTTTGCTTAACAACCATGGTGACCGCTTATTGACCACCACAGAAAAAGGTCATAAAATCAGATGGGTCACATCTTTACAACGTCATGGCTTACAACCATGGTTTGAACCGGGTCTTCTTAAGCTTAATCAAAGAACCCAACCCCAAGGGCGGTGCTCCTGAGAAGGTGGAGGGGGTCCAAACTGACCTACCTTTTCTGTAGCGACAGATAAAAGGTAACTTCACTGAGCAGGGACTGTGTTGGCTTCCATGGGTGACCTTGAAAACACGACATTCTTCCACAGGGGCTATGGAGACACAAGAAATACATGAGAAGATCTACCTACCTACCTGTCTGTCTGTCTACAGTATCATCTATCTCTATCTGTCTATCTCTCTCTGTCTGTCTGTCTGTCTGTCTATCTATCTATCTATCTATCTATCTATCTATCTATCTATCTATCTATCTATCTATCTATCATCATTTATCATCTATCTGTCTATCTTTTATCTATCATCTATCTACCTATCATCTCTCTCTCTATCTATCATCTATCTATCATTTATTATCTATCTGTCTTTTATCCAACATTTATCTATCATCTATCTATCTATCTATCTATCTATCTATCTATCTATCTATCTATCTATCTATCTATCTATCTATCTATCGTCTTTCTCTCTCTCTCTCTCTCATCTATCTTGATCCAAGCACCAATAACACACCTGATTGTTTCAATTTACCTCAAGCATTTTCTCTTGGTGGGCCACGCCCATTCCACCTCATTGGCTGTGCTGCTGTGATGTCACAGAACGTTTACAAGCATTCTATCTACTGGCATGCTAATGAGGGGAACGGGGACCTCCCAGGCGGAAGGGCTTGGTGGCCCACAAGGAAACCTCTTGGAGAAACGTGGCTTCAAACGGATAAGAGGAAAGGAGAAAGCAGAGATTTCCACAGAGCAGAAAATAAAGGATATGGGACATCCTCGCATGGGAAAATTGAATATCTCTGTACACCTTGACTCATTTTTTTGGATACGTCTATTTTGACGTGCACTATCCTTTCCCTAACTGCAGGCAACTAAAAGTCATGATCCTGGTTTGGCCTACATCAGCGGTTCTCAACCTTCTCTTCACCGTGGACCCCCTTTAAATACCTTTTGTGGCCACGGATCCCCCAAGACTTAACTCAACTTTCAAATCATAACATTTCTTCAAGCCTACGTGGACTTCTTGTGACAATCCGCGGACCACAGGTGGAGAACCACCGGCCTACATAGTTCGTGATCAACGGTGGAAGAAATGCAGGGACACACGGCTCTTTTTTTGACAAGAACTGGATTGACCACGAGGTAGAAAGAGCATTGAATTCTCCAAGAGCAGCTGGAAGATCAACCAAAGCTTTTCCTGTTCCAGGAGTGTCCTTCTCTAGTCCCCAAGGACCAGTCTATGCTAGTGGACGAAGCAGTGCACCACTCAATGGGTTTCAAACAGGCAGCCCGTAGTGTTAACCCCCAAGGAGGACTCACCTGGGCAGATGAGCTGCACCGTGGCCTCTTGAACACTTATTTCCACTTCTAAGAGGTCACTCCTCCAGTCAAAGATGAGACCTTCCCTGATGGACACACAGGAGCGGACTTTCTCCACCTGCTCTTGGCTGAGAACCCTCGCCCAAACTTGTAGGTCAGTGAGGTTCCCACTGAAGGATTCTTTCTCCTTGAAAGCGCCACCCAGGGAATCCTGATCTTGTCCAATGATGAACGTCCCGTGGCCATCAAGGGCTCGGGAAGGGGCAAGCCCGGCGGATGAGGCCTTTTGTTTCCCATCAGCGTAGATGACCCAAGAGCCGTTGGGCTGCTGCCACGTGACGCAGAAGTGGTGCCACCGTTTGTCGGTGCGGAAGACCGGCAGGTAAGGGGAGTGATGGCCATGGAGGATGATGGCAAACTTGACGAATTGGTCCTTGTCGACGATGCCCCGCAGCTGGAATTCATTGGTGAAGGCTGGGACCGCATAGGAGAAGACAGTCGAGACGTCTGTGGCCGTGGGGTCCCACTGGACGTGGGCGCAAGCGCTCACTGCGGCCATGACTGGGAAGTCAGCCAGAACCTTCACAAACTTGGTGTCTGTTTTGTTCTTGAATATCAGGATGGAGGGGGAGTGGACGCCTGGAAAGGATTGGTGCAAAAATGAAGGTTAAGAGGCTGTTTAGGGAAGGAGGGCCACAGAAGGGTATAAATTAAAGAGAAAGGAAGAGGTGAAGAAAACGGAAGAGGAAACAGAGGAGTAGGAGGAGTGGGAGGAGAAGGAAAAGAAAGAAGAGGAAGAGAAGTTAGGAGGAGGAGGAGGAAGAGGAGGAGGAGGAGGAGGAGGAGGAGGAGGAGGAGGAAAAGAAGGAAGAGGAAGAAGGAGGAGGAGAAGGAGGAGAAAGAGGAGAAAGAGAAAGAGGAGGAGGAGGAGGAGGAGAAGGAAAAGAAGGAAGAGAAAGAGAAGGAGGAGGAGGAGGGGAGGAGGAAGAGGAGGAGGAAACGAAGGAAGAGGAACAGAAGGAGGAGGAGGAGAAGGAGGAAGAGTAGGAGAAGGAAAAGAAGGAAGAGGAAGAGAAGGAGGAGGAGGAGGAAGAGGAGGAGAAGGAAAAGAAGGAAGAGGAAGAGAAGGAGGAGGAGGGGAGGAAGAGGAAGAGAAGGAGGAGGAGGGGAGGAAGAGGAGGAGGAGAAGGAAAAGAAGGAAGAGGAGGAGGAGAAGGAGAAGGAGGAGGAGGAGGAGGAGGAGGAGAAGGAAAAGAAGGAAGAGGAAGAGAAGGAGGAGGAGGAGGAAGAGGAGGAGGAGAAGGAGGAAGAGGAGGAGGAGAAGGAAAAGAAAGAAGAGGAGGAGGAATGGTGGGGAAGGAGAAGAATAAAAGGGAGTGGAAAGGGAGAGATGGAGAAGATAGAGGAAGGAGGAGAAGAAAGAGAGAAGGAGGAGAAGAAGAAAAGAAGAATGAGTGAAGGAGGAGAGGCAGAAGGAGCAGGAGAGAAGGAGGAGCAGGAGAAGGAGAAGACGCTTCTGCTCAGAAACTGTAAGGTCTCTTGAACCAGTTTTGAGAAAGGATCAGCTCGGATTCCAAGAAGGATTTAAGGCCAGATCCCTTCCAGAACGATGACTTGATTGACTTACAATCCGCTCCCGTCGCACCGAGGCCATGGCCTAAGGGATCATGCTCACCATCTCAGGACGTCTCTCAGCCACCCCGCCAGCCACCCCAAAGTTGCAGCTCATGGATGGCGCCGCTCTACTCACGCCTCTGCTTTGGCTTCCGCTGAAATAGTTCCTCCTCGTCTATCCAGATGGCACTTTGGAGCCGGCGGGAGAAGTTTTGGCCCAAATACGAGAGATCGTCCTCCCAGCTCTCTGAGGGCAACTGAGCGAAACGCTGCTGGCAGTAGACGTTGGCGTGCCACCAGTCCAGCAGATCAGACACGTATTCATAGACCACCGTTGGCGTCTCAAACACCAGAGGGAAGGGACTGGAACCTGGAGAGAAAACCAGCCAGACAGAGATGTCCAAAACTCTGAAGTCACTGCAACTAGTTACACGTTGGTATGAGTAGCAAGGAGGTGGTGGTAGAGGAGGAGGAAGGGGGGGATGATGATGATGGAGAAGGAGGAGAAGGGATGATGATGGTGCTGGTAGACATGGACATGGAGAAGAAGAGGGAGAAGAAGGAGGAGGAGAAAGAGGAAGGATGATAACGATGGAGGAGAAGGGATGATGATGTGGTGGACATGGACATGGAGTAGAAGAGGGAGAAGAAGGAGGAGGAGAAAAGGGAATGATGGTAATGATGAAGAAGAAAGAGGAAGGTGGTGTGGTGGACATATACATGAAGAAGAAGAGGGAGAAGGATGAGGAGAAAGGAAGAGTGATAACAATGGAGAAGGAGGAGAAGGGATGATGTTGGTGTAGTGGACAGGGACATGGAGATGGAGAAGAAGAGGAAGAATGAGAAGAAAGAGGAATGGTGATAAGATGAAGGAGAAGGGATGATGATATGGACATGGAGTAGAAGAGGCAAAAGAAGAGGAGGAGAAAGAGGAATGATGATAACAATGGAGAAGGAGGAGAAGGGAGGATGATGTGGTGGACATGGAGATGGAGAAGAGGGAGAAGAAGGAGGAAGAGAAAGAGGAATGGTGATAACAATGGAGAAGGGATGATGATGGTGTGGTGGACATGGACATGGAGAAGAAGAGGGAGCAGGAGGAGGAGAAAGAGGAAGGATGATAACGATGGAGAAGGAGGAGAAGAGATGACGATGTGGTGGACATGGACATGGAGAAGAAGAGGGAGAAGAAGACGGAAGAGAAAGAGGAATGGTACTAACAACGGAAAAGGGATGACGATGGTGTGGTGAACATGGAGATGGAGAAGAAGAAGGAAAATGGGTCATTCTCTTCTTGCTTCTTGAGAGAAGCCCAAATGTCTCTACTTCTTCACTCCCGGGGTCTTCTTCCCACCCAATTGCCTCTGAGCTTGGGGGGGCAACACCCCCCACTTTCATCACCCCGAAAAGAACTTTTTGGAAGCCATGCCTTCAGCCATCCTTCCTTCACAACAGCCACGGAGGAGAAGGAAAGAGAGAAGAGCAGCTTAAAACCTTTTCTGAAACTTACTATGGTCTTCGTTCCTCGGGGTTAGTCAACCCTTGGAGCACAAAATAACAACTGGCAGAGCTCCCAAAGGAGAGGGGAACCCAAATTTGATTTGGGGGGGTATTTTTCCCCCCAAAAGGTGCGGGGGGGGGAAGGAGAGCTTTAAACCATTTGCAAGCCAAGAAAAGGCTGCCCTTTATGGAAACGCGTCAGAGCAGACCAAGAAACGCAAACCTTTTGTGACGTGGTTTTCTGCAGGAATGGTGAAGGCCAGCGTCTTCCTCCAGGGAAGGACGACCTGGAAAAAGAAATTCAATTTTGAGACCACCTCTGGAACAGGAAATTGCCCCCTTCCTATGGTGTTGCAAAAAAAAACAAACCCCATGCTCCCAAATCCTGGGTTTTTTTCAACTCTCTAAAGAGGAGGAAGGTGTTTTAAATATAAATAAGTATTCAGAAATTGCTGAAGGAACCGGGAAACTGATTAGCAGAATAGCAGAATAACTGAGCTGGAAGGGACCTTGGAGGTCTTCTAGTCCAACCCCCTGCTCAGGCAGGAAACCCTATATACCATTTCGGACAAATGGCTGTCAAGTCTCTTCTTAAAAACTTCCAGTGTTGGAGCATTCACCGCTTCTGGTGGTAGGTTGTTCCACTGGTTAATAATAATAATGATGATAAAGTTGGAAGGGACCTTGGAGGTCATCTAGTCCCACCCCCTGCTCAGGCAGGAAACCCTATATACCATTTCTGACAAATGGCTGTCCAGTTTCTTCTTAAAAACTTTCAGTGTTGGAGCATTCACCGCTTCTGGAGGCAGGTAGTTCCACTGGTTAATTGTTCTCACTGTCAGGAAATTTCTCCTTAGTTCTAGGTTGCTTCTCTCCTTGGTTAGTTTCCATCCGTTGCTTCTTGTCCTGCCTTCAGGCGCTTTGGAGAATAGCTTGACTCCCTCTTCTTTGGAGCAGCCCCTGAGATACTGGAAGACTGCTATCATGTCCCCTCTCGTCCTTCTCTTCATTAAACTAGACATACCCAGTTCCAGCAACCGTTCCTTATATGTTTTAGCCTCCAGTCCCCTAATCATCTTTGTTGCTCTTCTCTGTACTCTTTCTAGAGTCTCAACATCTTTTTTACATCGTAAAAAACTGGTGCTGCCTAATGGGGGAAGGAAAGGCCTCTGAGCTAGCGCAGAGTGTGTTTCGAGTGTTTTTCAAAGACCTTTCTCCATAGCCACAGCTATATCCTTTGGCCAAACCTATGCAAAACTCAAACCAGCTGAGATCACATTTTGGCAGTCAATTAGGAAGTTTGTTCGGAATTAGGAATCTTTGCCAACTCGGGGGTGGGGTGGGTGGGAGGGGGGTGTTTGCTTAAGAGTTTGAAGCACAGGTGGCATCTCTTCAAAACCGTCCCATGTCCTCTCAGAAAAGCCGCAGAACTGAAAGTTGTGGTGGAAAGAAACGCCATTAAAATCCTGAAGCACCAGAAGTGTGGAAAATATGTACTGATATGCGCACATAAGTTGCACTCCCTAGTTGCACATCGGTCCAAAAGGACCGTCGTCAGCCAGGAAACACCTTCAAGGCCGGGATGGGGTGATCTCTTTTTCTCCCTCCCAACTCTATCAATGCTATCAATCAGAATAGAATCTGGATGGGACCTTGGAGGTCACCTAGTCCAACCCCCTGCTCAAGCAGGAGATCCTATACCAGTGGTGGCGAACCTTTTAGAGACTGAGTGCCCAAACTGCAACCCAAAACTCACATGCATCGTCGGGTGCCGGGTGGGTGTGGCCCATTGGGTGGGTGTGGCCCATTGGGTGGGCGTGGCTTCAGTGGTAACGGCAGACTGGGTGGGACTAAAAAGTTCAATCAATCAAATCCAACTTTGCGAGAAGTTGAAATTGATTGATTGATTGAACCTTTTTTTTTTTAACACGGCGGCGGAGGAGGCCTAAAGCGAAAAGATTTTATAAAACCCAGCTGAAGGTCAGTGGGCGATGACGCGCATGCCCACAGAGAAGGCTCTGTGTGCCACCTGTGGCATGCGTGCCATAGGTTCGTCACCACGGCCCTAGACCATTTCAATCAATCAATCAATCAATCAATCAGAATAGAGCTGGAAGGGACCTTGGAGGTCTTCTAGTCCAGCCCCCTGCTCAAGCAGGAGACCCTATATCATTTCAGACAAGTGGCTGTCCAGTCTCCAGTGATGGAGCACGCATGATTTCTGGTGGCAAGCTGTTCCACTGGTTAATTGTCCTCACTGTCAGGAAGTTTCTCCTTAATTCCAGGTTGCTTCTCTCCGTGATCAGTTTCCATCCTTTGTTTCTTCTCCTGCCTTCAGGCGCTTTGGAAAATAAACTGACCCACCTCTTCTTTGGGGTAGCCCCTCAAATACTGGAATCCTGCTATCATGTCCCCCCTAGTCCTTCTTTTCTCTAGACTAGCCAAACCCAAATCCTGCAGCCGTTCTTCGTATGTTTTAGTCTCCAGGCCTTGGATCATCTTAGCTGCTCTTCTCTGCACTTTTTCCAAAGTCTCAACATTTGTTTTGTAATATGGTGACCAAAACTGGATGCGGTATTCCACGTGTGGCCTTCATCTGATGCCGACCTTTCAGGATGCGGGAAGGCCACACCACTCGAGACCACCCAGAATCCCACCCCAAGTGGAAACGGTAAAATCCCCAAGGCAAGGAGGTCGCGGCTCTTTGGGAAGAGCCAAAACTCACCAGGAAACTGAGCAAAATCCCGGCTCCGCAGCTCAGGCAGATCCACCGAGGGGGAAAAGCCATCTCCGGCCAGGAAGAAAAGAAGGCTGCCTCTTCCGAAGCCACCAGGAGGGTCCGAGGGCGCTGCGTCCCGCTCGGTGGGCTGCTTTGCCTGGGATGGTGGGGAGAACCGAGCCACTCAGTCAGTTCCAAGGCTAGGAAAGGGGCTCCAGACGCCTATTTCTGGCTTCGCGGCGTCGGAACGCTCGAGGGACTTCCCACACGCCCCCTCCGGTTGCTGCTTTGCCTTCTTCCCACCCTTCCGCGCCCGGAGAGGCTGGGGCCGTCGCTTATTCCCACCCCCGATCGCGGAGACCCCCCCCCTCTCCAGCCTTACGGGCGACCCCCGGAGTCCGACGGGGTGAAGGCGACGCTGCGCGCAAAGCTCTCCAAAAGCGCCCCGTCTTTCCTGGCGCCCCGGGCTGGGCTGGGAGTGGCCCCGTTTCCCCTTATCCCACCCCAGGGGATCCAGCCGAAGCTCTGAAACCCTCCCCCCCTCCACACACCCCCAAACCACGCGCCCCACCGTCGAAGGAGACCTGGAGAGAAAGGCGTTCCGACGCGCGCCCAGGGCGCACGCTGCAGAGTCCCGCCGTCGGTTCTCCAAGCGCGGAGGAAGGACGGGGTGAGGATCAACGCCCCAAGTCTTCGGGGCCGGCTCGGCTGGGCTGAAGCATCGCGGCGGCGTCTCCCACCGGCGGTGGGCGAGAGGAAGCGGCGGGGACGCGCGCCCCCCCCCCGCCCCAGGGAGGGCCGTGCAGCTCTTCTCTCTTCCTCGCCTCGTCCTCCTCCTCCTCCGCTCCCCTCTTCCCAGCAGCGAGAGCCAGCAGAGAAGCGAGGGCACAAAAGGTTCTCCCCCTCCTTTCTGGGCAAGGGCCCAAGCTGGGAGGGGGCGCCCCCCCGTATGATTCACCGGCAGGGAAAATAGCAGCTGGTTCCCAGGCTTCGGGTGAGGGGGGCACATTTTTGGACCGGCTCCCTCCCCACAACCAGCAGAAGAAGAAAAAAAGGAGGAACGTGGTGGAGGGTCCTTAGGAAACCTCCCAACTCAGCAGGAGAACTGGATGGAAAACTAGTCCAGGAGAGAAGCGAGCGGGAATTAAGGAGAAACTTCCTAAACAGGGGGGACAATTAACCAGGGGAACGGCTTGCCACCAGAAGTTGTGGGTGCTTCATCACTGGAGGTTTTTTAAGAAAAGACTGGGCAGTCCCTTATCTGAAATGGTACACAGTCTCCTGCTTGGACTAGAAGACCTCCCAGGTCCCTCCCAGCACTATTCTGACTAGAAGACTTCCAAGGTCCCTATATATATAAGAAACAACAGATGGAAACTAATCAAGGAGAGAAGCAAGCTGGAATTAAGGAGAAACTTCCTAACAGGGAGGACAATTAACCAGTGGAACCAGCTTGCCACAAGACGCTGTGGGTCCTCCATCACTGGAGGTTTTTAAGAAGAGGCTGGACAGTCACTTGTCTGAAATGGTCTAGGGCAGACATGTCAAACACAAGGCCCCGGGGCCGGATGCGGCCCACGGAGTGGTTTCATGTGGCCCGCGAAGACATCCTGGAAACAGTGAGGGAATGGCCCCCTCTACCTTGGCCCTGGCCCAGGCCAGCCGGGAGTCAATGTACAATTTTGTGGTGGCCATCTATGCTGAAATGCATTCAGTCTTAGCTCCATAAGCCCCCCCCCCACATGGCTTGAGAGGAACAGTGAGGCTCCTCCAGTGGACCATGCCTTGGCACTTGCCCTGGTCCCACCCCCTTCTGCCAGAGACCCTCAGATCTGTCCCACTCCTGCCCAGGCCCCCACAGGCACCCTTGACGAGAACGATGTAGAGCTGGCCACGCCCACCCAGTAGGTGACATCCACTCCATCCACGCCCACCCAGTAGGCCACACCCACCCTGGCCACACCCACCTGGACCGCAATGCTGATGTGGCCCTCAATGAAATTGAGTTTGACACCCCTGGTTTAGGCTCTCCTGCTTGAGCAGGGGGCTGGACTAGAAGACCTCCAAGGTCCCATCCAGTTCTAGTCTGATTCTGACTCTTTCTTGGAGGTGATTGTGCCTCCCAGGCCTCTTCGAGACAAAAAACTTCAGAGTGCCCCCCCCCGAAGATCTGGGGGAGGGGGGGTTAACCCTTCTTGTTGGAGGACACCCAAGAGCCGTAACAGAACCCCAAGTGTGTTGCAGGCTTGTTCTAACTTTGATGCAACTTAAACAAACTTCACATTCAGGAAGATGAGGGCTGGCTAAGTCTTCTTCTTTTTTGTTTTTTAAATAGTTTTTATTACCATTTTCCTTTATAAAACTCTAGTACATATTCAGCAGACTGTGTCATTTTTATATACTGCGGATCAACATTCTATACAATATATACACTATATACATTCAATATCTAACTCACAATAACCTTATGCGTATTTCCAACTTTTGTTTCTATTATCTATCCAGGTATGCCATTTGTCCCAAACCGCGTAAAATTCCGAATCGTCTTTTTCTTTTAGTTCCAAAGTG